ATTCAAAGGTAACCATTTTGATGCCAACATTAAAATTAAATGACTGTAACTTAGTTTAATTCAAATGCAATAACACGATTATCAATGAATGTATGTGACAAATGATTTACTATGATTATAACAAAGATTCATTCAAGAAACCTCCCAATATAAATCATAAAACCATAATAACTTCTGATCATTCTAAATTTGTCCAATGGCCTAAATATCCTAAAGTGAAGGAGAATCGCTTTAAAATAATAAATAAAATATATCCTGTAGCCATGTTTCTTGAGGTTGACTTGTGTGCCTTTTGTAAATCAGAAGATGAATCCCTCGAGCATTTTTTTTCATGTAGTCACAAAATTTTTGGACAGACGTCTGAAACTGAACTCAACATTCCTTCTTTTGATGCTGATTCCATTTGACTTTATGTGGAGAGCATAAACTCAGCTTTCTCTGATGCCATAAATATAGTTGTACTTATTGCAAAGTATAACATTCACAGTAAGTGGAGAGATAATAAGCCCTCCTTCCTGTTTTATGAACAATTTTAAGTCATATTATTCTTCATGAAGTAGATTAAAAAACTGGAAAACTGCTAGAATCATCTCACAACAGATATTTAAAAACGTAATGTTTTTTTCTCATATAGTCTTGCTCATTTCTGTTTTTTTTATTATTTTTTAATCTTTTATTATTTTGTAAAAAAAAAAAAACAATCTTGTAAAATGCACTTATGACACCTTTCACGAGAGTTTGTATTTGCATCTTTTTGCAGTGTTCTGTTCTATATTCGGTTGTTAATAAAGTTCTAAAAATAGTACTAGCTCAGCTTCAAACAAACGTGATACAGGTGCAGAAGAAACTTTCATGTGATACGCAGCACATCACTGTGGAGTTCTTGATGAATTAAATATGAAAGCATTCATAGTTAACATGCTTTCATCATAAATAAAACCATTTTCATTTTGTGCCTGTTTGAGTACATTTCCTGACACAAAAATGGTAATTTGAGTCAGTATCAGCTGAGATTAAATTATGAGGTAATCAGACTCTTCCTGATGAAGACCCCACCCCCACCTCACCCACAGTCATCATGAAGATAGGGATAAAGTGTATATCTCCAATCTTTAATGAAACCCTGGGGATTTCAGGGTTTAGACTTCATAAAGTATTTATGAAATGTTCATTAAGTATTGATTAAGATGTTAGAGAGCGTTTAGACACCCAGACAATCATTATGGAAGGCTAGATTTTGGCTAGAGGATGAAAAAGGCATAAGAAGACAAAAATGTAGACAGGGAATGGGGATGCTGAGAGAGAGAAAAGGAAATAAAATAAAACAAAGAAGGCAGTGTGACAACATGGAAACTGTGAGAAGACATGAAGAAAGAATGAAAAGAAAGATAAAGTTCTACTCTTTAAATATTGGCTAAATATTCAGAAAGTGTTTCAGTCAGCAAGTTAGTTTTTAAAGATCAGGTTTTAATCTGAGGTGGAGAAGAAGATGAGAAAAGGAGGATGCATGGGATTGAATATAAATTTGGCGCAGACAAGAGGCTGAAGATGACAAAGTAGAGGCAAAAACAGGTGTGCAAAAGACAAAGTGAGCAGGAATCTGTGTAATTTGTAAAGAAAAGTGAAAACATACTATACAGTAGTGAAAAGAAACGACTTGTGTAATCGCACACTGTTTATTCTCACTCTGCTTTACCTGCTCATTCCTGTCAGAGATGGGGGACACTGGCATACCGCTTGTTAACACCTGATTCACTCTCACTTTACCCTCCGTACCTTCTGCAGGTGTTGCTGCGTTGCAGGGTAACCAGGAAGTTGTGGTGAGCAGAGGCACAGACCTGCTATAATGATGCAGCAGTGAGGCTTAATGGGGCTGAAAACACAAGCTGACTGGCTGGCAGGCAGGCCACCCGGTAAAGGAGGGGCACAGTTGGCGCGAAGCTGTTTGCAGCTCATGACAGATGTTACAAAGAGAGTCAGAATGACAAAGAGACCCAGCCAGCAAGGAGACGAATGATGAAGAGAGAGGAAGAGGGCGGTGAGTCATTTGCAACATGCAGAGTGAGAGATCACTGTGAGGTAACTTTGGGTAAAAGCAACTTTAGGCAAAGTCAGGCAGAGTTCGTTCACTTTTGAATCTGTGTTCATTTTCTTTTGTATGCATTAAAATTACACACATCGATTTGTTTGAAGGTTTTATTTTTTTTAGCTAATAAACTATGAACTGTGACAACCGATATGTATAGTTGTTTCCAGTGATTTATGTAGATGTGTGTGTCTGAAAGAAAAAAATAAGGTCCTTGAAAAGATCATTTTTCAGTGGAAAAATATGAATCATTTAGGGCAGAGCAAGGATTTATTCTGGTTTGTTTTTTTGTTTCCCCATGTGTTGAGTGAACTGTATGAGGACGTCTTTAATTTGACCATCATGTGCATTGCTGAGGAATCTGAAGACGTAAAAGACGTCTGTTTTCTTTAGAGGTCACTGAGGTAGTTGAATAAACTCCTGTGTGGTAGGACACCAGGAGAGGACAAGATTCACCCTGAGACGCTGAACGCTCTAGAAAATATACTGCAGTGATTGACACACCTCTTCAGTGTTACCTGGAGGATCAAGACAACACCTGCGGAGTGCAGGCTAATGTGGTGGAAGCAAGCGGCATGCTGGTCCGCCATCGCTGAGGGATTTGAATAGTTAATGTTTGTAGTTTTCGAGATGAGTATTTTTCTGGACCGGAATTGAACAGGAAATGCAAGTAAACCTTAATGTTTTTGGTGCAAGATATTCAAATGGGTATGGGTTACACTGTGGAGAAGAGGAGAGGTGTTTTGGTTTCTTGTCAGAAGCAAGGCAGATTGACGGATCCTGGCAAGTGGTGGGAGAAAATTTATCAACCTCCAGGAGCAGTGGTGGAGCCAGCGGGTGGCCAATGGTGGCCTTGGCCAACATAGATTACTCTTCGGCAACCCCAATCATTTGAGGAAATTATACATTTAAGCAATATAAAAACTAGAAAGCATAGTTTCCTCAAATAATTGGGTTAGCCGATTTACAAATATACTGTATATGGTGGTGGCCATCTTGAAATATGTAAATGCAGCGACACACAACAATGGAAGTTTGTACCTTGCTTATTTTTTAAGTTTGCAACATGCACGAACAGATGGACGGAGAGTTTTTCCAACTTCCTCGCTTTGCTCCACAACAGGATAAAATGGGGTCCGGTGAGTGTGCTCCAGCCTTTGGGGCAAAACTTTTCTCAACCTCCCTAAAAAGAATTGCTTTTGAAAAAGGAGTAAGGAGGCTCGTACAAACTGTCAAACATTTTTTGTTTGTATGCTCAGTAGCTCTGTCGTTGAATTGTTTGTGTTTTTAAAAGCTGGAGAAGGATTATTTTGTATCCTAGGGGATTTTGCAGGTGGTGCAGTGGGTGTATTGGGTACCTGAGTGCCGTTTCAAGTACTGTGTGTTTCTGGTGCACCTGGACCCCATCAGGGCTCTATTCTCCAACATTATTTGTGGTATTCAAGAACAGGATTTTGACGTGCAGTTCTGGAGAAGTAGGAATCTGTTTGGGAACTTCAAGGTCCCATGAAGGTCTTTTGTTAAACTTGATGGATTTGGTGGATTAGGGCTTCTTCTGCAGCAACAAAAGCACAAATCTGAATTGTGTTTGAGCTGTACAAACCCTCACTTACCCCAAATCCAAGAAGTGATGCACTAAATACCCCTACAGGCCTAGGAAATCTGAGTGTTGCTGGAAGGAGGATGTCTGGGTTTCCCTCTTGGAGTTAGGGCTGAGCCTGTAATGAATACCGTAGATAAGCATCGTCACTGCACAGTCTTTGGAGCCAAGTATGAACTCTCATGAAACATCACAGAATTATTTACAGCAACAACAGAAGCACTGAAGGAGCTGGGATTACAACCAGCTTCTATGAAATTACTAAGTATGGTTTCTGTAATTTATGAAACATTCCCGTGTTGTGCTTTTCTTGTAAAACAATTTTTATAAAATATAACCCCTACAACTTCAGGCCTTGCGTCAGACTGCTTTAATTTGCTCGTACCACAGAGAGAGAGGCTGTAATCTCCTGGTGGATCATTTGAACTGCAGGCTGCCAAACAGAAGACAAAAAATATGAGTGCACGTTGACTGAAGGGCTTTGAGATGCAAGTTGCCTTTTGCTAATAGAAAAAGTTATTGCAAAGTTGGTTGTATTTATGAATCTGGAGTGCGGTTTCTTTTGTTGTCAACCTATAAAGTCAGTTTATATTTTATACATCTATATGGCCATCAAAAGCAAGACGTGTTGTCGTATAGTCTTCATCTGTCTGTCCATTTGTTTGTGTGTCCGTTCAAAAACTTTCTCTTGTCCATTCCTTAACTGCTGATCTGCTCAAGATAATTTAATCAAACTTTATACTCTTATGGATCATTTCTAGAGGAAGTGTCATCAGTACTTTTCATCACCCCAGTTCCAATGTCAAGGTCATAAATCAAGGTCAACATTCAAAACAAGGTGTTCGCTTGTCCGGGCCATATTGTCTGATCCGTTCAAGATAATTTAACAAAACTTGATAGGAATTGGTATCACCACTTCACAGCATGTCACATAATCTTTTCATCATCCCAGCTCTTAGGTCAAGGTCACAAATCAAGGTTAAATGTTATATTAGGTATTTTCTTGTCCAGGCCATTGCTTATTGCTGTATAATAGTTTGTTGCTGGGATTATAATGTGTCATGTGCAGCATTCTTGTTTCACAAAGGATTTATAAAATATATTTAAAAAATAAATATATCATTCTCTTTATTTTATTTAATGAGATCAAGCTTTCCTTGTAGACCACAGTTTGATATTGTCTTGAAGCTATCAAAATGGTGTCTTCAGTAAAATAAATGTACCCAGCTCAGATTAGATAAAGCATGCTGTTTCTTCAGTTTGGTGCTGATGTTAATTGTTGCTTCCTCTTCTTCTACTACTGTGTGTCCACAGCAACAGGAGCAGGACCCCACCAACCTCTACATATCCAACCTGCCGGTGTCGATGGACGAGCAGGAGCTGGAGAACATGCTGAAGCCCTTTGGTCACGTCATTTCCACACGGATACTGAGGGATGCCAGCGGCCAGAGCAGAGGAGTTGGCTTCGCCAGGTAAAATACACCATGAGTCATTGCGCTAAAGATTCTGTTTGTTTCTAATTGTTAACGTTAAAATCCATTTATTCTTTGTTTCCATGGATGAACACAGACTCATAGGAACTTATTCACTTGGTTCCATTTTTTTCTCATGAAAAATCTGTGGTTGCTTTTACTAAAACAGTAGAAAAATGGAATGAACACGTGGGCCCAGGACACAAAGGATACCCATTGTTGTTTTTTATTTTCTTTTACATAAAAACTGCTACAAGATGTTTGTATCAGTAAATGAATCCATGATTAACATTACATTCTTTAGAAGAGTAAATAAATTCATGTCACATAAACCTTCATAAACAAATGTTAGGAAGAAACTGATAAATGAACTCGTCAATGACCGTAGGTCCGATAAACCAAAAAAATTAGTTGGAGCCACTGATGCTGTTGATGATGACCTCTGTAGAAAATTGTACATGTTCACCTGCACTCTTCAAACTGGTGACCTTGAGATCAGCGGCAACACAAGTGAAGATGGCAACAGTTAAATGAACAGAAACCAGAACTACTGAAAAATATGCAGATGTTAAAAAAAAGGTTGTAAGATTTCAGCTCTGTGTTTGTTTTTAGTTAAATTATATATTTTGTTGTTGACTTTCTCAAAGATTTATTTTTCTAAATCAAAACTAGCCAATTCATTAAAAAATGCATAAGAATTTAAAGTAAGACAAAATAAACAAACTTTGTTGAAATTACCCCCCCCCCCCCCC